ATTCCTCTCAAACCCAGGTCTCACTCTGCAGACAAAGTGATCATTCTGAAACGCAAATACAATCAGAACCCTCTCTTTCTTTAAAACCTTCTATGGCTCCCTATGACCCACAGGACAACACCAAGGTCTGAAGCCTGCCTTTTAGGGTTCTACATAACACAGATCCTGCCAGTGTCTCTGAACTCACTTCCAGATTCCAGCAAAAACAAAAAGTCCTACTAAACCCCAAATCCTCACCTCAAGGCTACTCTTCTGCCCACCCCAACCCGTGCGTCATAATACTGACTCTTTTATCCCACAATAATAATATATTTCTCTTACTGTGTGCCAGAGGCCATTCTAAGCACTGTATATGGACTAACTCACTGATTCTCAGAACAGCCCTTCATGACAGGCAGCATCACCCCCATTGTACAGATGAGAAAACCGAGGCAGAGAAGATAAGCTCCATGCCTTGCTCAGGGAGATGCTCCCAGCCATCATGCTCCACAACCCCTGGCTGTCTGCAGCATACTCACCCTCCCGTGTATGCCTCTATGCTGGGCCACGGCTGATCACCCTTCCACCCCAGAGCTCAGCCAGTGTCTGTGGAGTGGGCGCTCCATCCAGGCCACTGAGCGCAACAGAACCTAAGGTGCTGCCACAGCAACAGGTGTCTTTATGCCGTAGGCAGAGCTCCCTTCTCTGTTGCTCTCTGCAAGTTTCAAAGATCCTTCTGCTCAGTTAAGACAGAAGCAAAGGCAGCGAGGGATTTTTACCTTCTCTGTCACCTGTTAATATCATAACATCTGCTCCAAAGCAGGACCTCATCCCTATTCTGTTTCTCCCTCCCTTCAAATATTTCCAGTGATGGCAAGCTCAACCCTCCTCCTGAAGCCTTTTCTTTCAGCTTTCTGCCAGGTAAATGGGTGATAACAGCCACCTCAAGAACTGCTATCCCATTGAAAACATTATGGTAAGTGAAAGAAGCCAGTCACAAAAGACCGCACACTGTGTGATTCCATGTATAGGAACATCCAGAACAGAGAAGTCTGTAGAGACAGAAAGCAGGTTAGTGGTTGCCTCGGGCTGGAAGGACATGGGGAACGTAGACAGGTGAGAGGACAGGGTTTCTTTTTGAGAGGGCAAAATGTTCTAAAATTGTGGTGATGGTTGTACATATCTGTGCATGTACTTAAAACCATCAAATCACAAGCTTTTAATGGGTGACTTGTAGTGTGTGTGAACTATAACCCAGTAAAGCTGGGGCACAGTGACATAAGGTTCGTTACACCAGTGGCAGGGACAGAAGCCCAAAGAAACAAGGAGTGTCTGGGAGAGGCTGTGTCTGCAGAAGAGCGAGGCTGTAGAATTACAGCGAACGCCCCTTCTGAGGAGGAAAAGTAAAGTAAAGCCCAGACCTAGGAACCTGCTGCACCTGCCCTGAAGTCAGCAGGGCTTGGCTGGGGTCCCTCGGGCGGCGCTGACTGCTCCCCTCCTGGGGCACCAGCCTCTGCTGCATGATGGCACACGAGGCTTGGTAACCCCGAAGACCATCCTCTCCTGTTCCTCCTGAGTCCTGGCTGCCCTATCAGACTGGGGCCTCCCTGAGCATGGGGACCCGGTGCACTTTTGTGTCCTCCATCCTGGCTCCCTCTGTCTCCTCCTCCTCTGCTCTCTGCCACCGTCCCCCATGGCATCCCACCCTCAACTCACACACATGCACACACCACTTGGACCCATCCCTTCTGGCAACTTTCACTCTCTCACAGGGGACAGCCTGCTTCCAAAAATGATCACTATGTTCCTGACCTTCACCTCTACAGCTAGTGCTGCCACCACCCCTGGGCTGGTCTTGCACAGCAGCTCACGTGTGCCCCTTCACCGCTGGTCCCTTAAAGGCCAGTGAACGCAGTGCTCTGAGCAACCCACTGCCGGGGCAGCATGCAGTCGGCACGCTGGACACGGGCGTCACGCATCGCAGACTTGGGTGTGCCTCATCTTAAGGCAAAAGCTCACGTAGAAATCTGGGCTCGTAAAGGAAACAAATGTGGACAATGCTTGTAATGAGCCCAGCACTCCAAACGCACTCCATAAATGTAGCTATTACTCACGCCACCGTTCCCAAAACTTTGTGTTAAAACCACTTCTCTGGTTCTCTGGTCTTCAGACAGCACAGAAAGATGAAGGAAAACACAATAACAAAAACAAACAAAAAAAAAAACTGCAAAAAACTAACTTTACCATGCTGTCTTTTAAGTAGAATGGGAATGGAACAGAAACTGAAGCCTGGTATTGACTGGGATGAAATGGCTGTTCCCTGAGTTTTCATGTCACTGCACACACTGGCAGGCACGAGATAGGCTGCTGTCACTCCTTCTAGGAGAAATCAATCCCTTGACTCAGCACACAAAAGAGAACTCCTGATCCATCACTGCTACCTATTTTTTTAAGGAAGTCAACATTTTTTTGTTCCAAAGAAAGTTTTTGCTGCCTCATACCCAGGAAATGGGACAGAATATTTCCTGCTCAAAGATATGCCTCACAGCTCACACTAAGACCCAAAAACTTTCTCTGGAAAACCTCAGTGCCCAGAATCCCAGAGTGGCTCTTACTCAGAGCAGCAGACTTCTAAGACTGTCACCTGTGCCGGTTCAGGGCTAAGTTCCCTTGAGTCAAACCTGTCTTTCCAGCTGTGATTCCAGGGGAAACCTCAAACCCTGAGGGGTTGAACACACTTCCCCTTGACACCAGGGCGTCCCTCCCGTCGTCATAATCAGCCTCCTGCTTCTCTGATTAACCCACAGGAATGAACGGCCAGGGCTTTGCAAACTGCTTTCTCTCAGCATCTCCCAGCTCCTCCTGAGTGAAGTCGAGGCGGCTGGGACTCTCATGTCACTGAGGAGGAAACCAGGACCCAGAAAGGGGGAGGTGGTAGAGCCGAGACCTCAAGCCAAGCCTTCCAGGGCCCATGCCATCGCCACGACGATCCATCTTGCCTCATTTATTCCATCTCTACTTGGTGTCTAAAACACATCTCGAGAGTAACATGTCCACCAGAGAAACCTGGGTCCTGCGTCCCCAAGCCTGCTCCTCCCTGTGGCTTCCCAAACTAGGGAAGTGGCATGACCATTCACCCAATGACTCGGATGACAATGTGCGAAGTCATCCTGGAAGGGGGGGAAGGGGAATAGAAGGAAGGATACGGGAAGGAGGGAGAGGGAAAAGGAAGGGAAAGGGAAAGGGAGGAAGCAAGAAAGGAAGAGAGTAGTGAGAGAAAAAAGGGACAGGGAGGGAGGGAGGAGACAGAAGGAATGGGGAAGGAGGGAAGAAAGGACAGATGGAGAGCGGAAGGAGGGATGGACCAAAAAGAAGGCTTCCACCCCACGAGAGCATGGTAAAAAGCCTGTGGGTGCAATGTGTTTAGCCAGGGTAAATCAATACCCTAAAATAATATTTCCTGTCTTTGTTTATTTGTTTTATACAGCACTGGATTCACTTGCATTCACAGAGAGTCACAAAGCCATGACCCTCTCTAAAACAGCCACTCCAGGAATAGGAACTTGGGCCACCCTGGAGATGTGTCAAATTTTCCCAAAGGCAAAGAGAACTAGACACAGTCCCTGAGCCTAAGAAACCAGAATCTCATCTGGATGATAAGGCTCATATCCAAACAGTCATAATACGAAGCAGAGATTGACAAGGGCCAAAAGAGCTGTACAGAGACGGAGCCATGGTGGCCCACGGAGTGACGGGACATTCCCGCCAGGCACATGAACAGGACGTGCACCTGGGCAAGGCCTTCGAAGGGAACGTGGCTTTTGAAAGAGAATCATTGTGCGCTGGGCACGCTCCCTGTGCCCGCAGTCACTGGAGCCTGCCCAGTGTGATTCCCATTCTGCAGATGCTGAAACTGGGGCAGGCGGGCGGGGTGGGAGGGGAGGGCAAATAACTAGCCCAAGGTCATGCATGCAAGGAAAGTGGAAGCCACACTCTAATGGCGATCTAAATTCAGGTCTATTGCGAGAATCGAGTGGCCTGAACCACATGGTGTGAAATGCACGGGCCTCTCCCATAAGCCTTCTCAGGCAGTGGCTTTCTCCACAACCCCACTCCCTGCCACCTCTTCCCTGTGACCTGCATCCTGTCTGTCTCCCTTTCCAGAGTGGCAGCGCCTTGATGAGGGAGAGTTCCTGTGTTGACGACTGCAATCACTGTGCGTGAGTACCTAGGGAGTGCTTGTATCCCCCGTGCACCCACGCACCCACTACTCTCTTCCTGCCACCTCATTTCCTCCATGCCAGGCCCCGAGATGGCTCTAGGACTATGACAAGCATCACAGAGTTCCCCCGGGGGGTGGAGGGGACGGAGGGTGAACAAAAACAGTGTCTACCCAGGGCACAGTGAGGGGTGGTGGAGCATGGTCAGAACCACAAAGTGGGGGAAGTCAGAAAAGCTTCCCTGTGGAGGATGAGGTCAGCCTGAGCCCTGTCTTGGAGAGCAGAAGGGTAGGTGGGAGGGTGGGAAAGGCATTCCAGGAAGAGGGAACAGAATACGCAAAGGCCTGGAGCATAGGAACTGTAAGTCTTCGAGAATGACTGGAGCACAGGATGAGGGCAAAGAAGGGGATACAACAAAAGAGGCCATTTGGGCCCAGATCTGAGAAGGCCGTGGGTGGGTTCCAGGAGAGGAAGTGTGGCGTCCGTCAAGGGGTCAGGAAAACCCACGCACAGCTTGAAGCCAGGGAAAGACGTGAGGAAGTTTTTGCAACTGTAGCTCTCAGGGTGGAACCTAAGGCAAGAGCCCGAAGGCAGACGGGAGGCCTGCAACGACCCAGGCTTCAGAAAGATAAAGAGAGGAGGAAGGGCAGATGGGAGAGCCCGGAAAGACGCGCAGAAAGACAGAGACAGAAAAAGTCTGCAGGCAAGAGGCCAGAGGAGGAAAGGGCGCGTGCGGAGATGCTGCTGGGCTGCGGCTGGCGGGCGGCAGGCGGGGCCGCACTCGCCCGGAGCCGGACTCACCGCGGAGCCAGCGGGCGCCGGCGTGCGTGTCCTTGAGGCGGATGAGGCGGCGGTGCGCGTAGCTGCGGCCCA